GCAGGGAGAGGGGGAGAGCAGGGACAGGGGCAGAGCAGGGAGAGGGGGAGAGCAGGGACAGGGCAGAGCAGGGACACATGCCCCTGATGCTCAGCTGTGACCCTGGGGCTGCAGTGGCCCTGCCAGGTGCTCCCCCATCGGTGCCCCCGTATTTAAGCCCCCAAGCGCTCAGGTGAGCTCTCCCACCAGAGCGTTCCCTGGGAGCGGCTCTGGCTGCAGGGGACACAGGGGAGAGGAGGGACAGGGGGAGAGGAGGGACAGGGGTAGAGCAGGGACATGGGGGAGAGGAGGGACAGGGGGAGAGGAGGGACCTGGGGGAGGCAGGGAGAGGGGGAGAGCAGGGACAGGGCAGAGCAGGGACACATGCCCCTGATGCTCAGCTGTGACCCTGGGGCTGCAGTGGCCCTGCCAGGTGCTCCCCCATCACTCCTCGGTCAGGTAACAGCCTCCAGCTGCCTGCCATGAGCTTTACTCAGCTCTTCCCTCTGATCCCCCGTGACCGTCTACACTGGGTGGTCACTCACCTGCTGCCACATGAGAAGAAGAGTGATTTAGGGCCTCATCCTTCATCCTCCTGCCCAACAGGTGCTGCAGCACCCTTTCTCCCCGGCCGGGCGCCCTTAGGCAGCTCCTGTCACCCCTCCTTCCCCTCGCTGATCCCCGGGGAAGCCTTCGCCCAGCTGGGGATGGGGTTCCTCCCCACCATCTCCGCCCCACCCACAAGTTCCCTGTGTTTTATTTCGGCTGTTGGTGCTGTCCAGATTCCCTGCCCCTCATGGGTGCTCCCAGGGGCTCAGAACCCTGAGCAGCTTCTGTACACTCACCCCAAAAAAAAAAAACCAAACCCACACAGACACCACCAGCAGGACACAGAACTATTGACCTTTTTATTTCAATCAGCTACAGCAGCCCCCTAACACCCTGTCCTTCCTTCACTACCACAGACAGCAAGGGAGCCGAGGACACTGCGGTGGCAGCAAGTCTCTTTTTTTTAAAGCTTAGTATTAAATATTAAATATTCTCTCATTTATGTTTACATTACTTTGTCAAGGAAAAAAAAAAAAAAGACAATTAAAACTTAAATTACAGGAATCTGTGCCTGTGCCCCGGGGCAGCAGCACTGGGGGCCGTGGCGCTGTCCCCAGCAAGGTGGCTCTGCTGCACGGGAGACGCAAAAATACACAAAAAATCTCAAAAATACACAAAAAATCTCCGGCCCTGGGCCTGGTAGTGCGTGACTCTGCTCGCTCCGGCGGTGAGGTGGGGAAGGGGGTGCTGGGTGGTGCTGGGAGCCGGGTTCCCAGCTCCCGCACCCTTGGCATGCCTGGGAAGGGCAGATGACCCCCGTGCAGCTAAAACACTGTCTGGAGGAAGCGAGGCCGGGAGAGTGCAGCAGCAGGGCCGCAGCACCTCCACTCAGCCCCAGCAAAGTGCATGGGGAAGGGGGTGAGGATTTGGTCGACAACTTTGCTAAAGAATTTTTCTGTTTGTTTTTTTTTTTTCTTAAAAAAAAAAAAAAAAAAAAACCAAAAACAAACCACAACCAAAACAACAACCCCAAACGGTTTTGAGTCTTCCTTTGATTTTAGCAAAGACGGAGTTTAAAAAGCACTTGGGAAGCTCCAGGCGCTCTCAGAGGAGAGAGTCATCTGTGCACCCCCCTTCCAGTCCGTAGCGGAACTCCTGCAGGTTCGACACGCCGTAGAAGTGGACAAAGGCTGCGGCCACCACGAGCACATGGAAGATCTGATGTGACTGAAACTGTGGGGAAGCAAAAAAAACCCCTTTAATCCAGACCAAAGGAGACAAAGCAACACCGGGAACATCTCCTCCTCCTCCTCGCTGCTTCCGCACCACCCCAGGAGCCTCGGAGCTCCACCTTCTCCCTCTCATTGCTCCAGGCCCCTCCCAGCCCCCTCACCCTCATCTTGATCCCCCCTCCCCGCAGCACCCTGCTCTCCGCCTGGTCCCCGCACTCACCCAGATGTCGAATTTGCCCGGGAAGAAGCGCTCGGGGATGCGGGCGGCGTAGAGCCCCGCGCCCGTGATGTACATCACGGCCATAAGGAAGAACCAGCCCATCTGCCCGACGGTGGTGGCTTTCACGAACCCTTCGGCGATGGTGAAGTGCATGGTGGGCACCACGCCGCTCAGCCCCAGCCCCAGAAAAACGCCTGCGGCCGAGAGGAGAGATCAGCGTGAACCTCGCCCCCTCGTCCTGCGCAAAAAGCAGCTCCTGGAGGCACCAGCAGCTTTTCTGCGCTCCGTCCTGGATGATCCAACCCCCACAGCATTGATCCTTCTCAAAATCAGGCATCTACAGCTCTATGTCCCAGTCAAGACCAGTGCTGACCCCCAGTGCTCACTGGGCAGAGCTTGCCCAGCATTCTCTGTGCAGCGGCGGGGCTGCAGCAGCTACGGGAACGGCTCTTTTGGAAGGTGCCGGCCCTTCAGATCGCAGCGGAGCCTCAGGAACGCCACAGCCTCGGCCGGCCCTTCGCAGGGAGGCTTTGCCAAGGTCGTTTGTTCGGTGAAGCTGTTTGGAGCTCAAGGGGAAGGTGCTAATTAACGGCGCTGAAATTGGCAGCTCTGGCAGCTGATTCGTTTGGCAGAGAGCAAACGGCACCACAGCCAGACACCAGCCCGGAGGCCGCCGCTTGTGCCCGCAGCGGGGTCTCACTTTGCACCAGGGGGGACGTCAGCGCCCGCCAGGAGCCGAGATTTCTGCCAGCACGTGCTGCCGGGGGGAGCGCGATGGGGCTGGTGGTCCTGCCCTGTCCCCTGCCCTCCTCTGAGGGGGTCTCAGGCACCAGCGGCGCTGCCCGGCTCCAGCTCAGCATCGTCTCTCGTTGGGTCGTGAGGACGCCGCTACGAGAGATGTTTTGGTGCAGGAGCCCCCCCTGGGGGGTGAGGGTTTGGGCAGAGGCGTTTCTCCCGCTCCGTGAGGCTGATTTCTCTGCAGAGGCTGCAGCGGGGGCAGAGAGGGGGTGAGTGTGCAGCAGGCTCGGCAGCCTCACCCCGCAGCCTCTGGGGAGGTGGGTACGTGCCAGCGTGTAGCTGGCAGGAGAGAGATGAGGAAATCTCCTCCTCCTCCGCTGGAGCTGCAGGTTCCCGCTGCCAGACTGCTTCCCGGAGCAGACGGCTTCACGCAGCACAGCCCCAGGCCATCCAGCCGGGGCTATTTTTAAACACTGTGGGTCTGCTCCAAACCTCAGGCGTTGCCAGTGCCAAGCAGAGCTTGGGGCTCTGCTCAAGCTGAGGATCTAAATCCCCGGCACAGCGAGAGGGAGGAGACCTCGCCCTGCTGCAGGGTGCTGCGCTGGGGAAATGAATTCTGCAGATGCCAAGAGCTCTGCGCAAATGGGAAGAACCACCCCACAATGAAATCTTCCCAAAGTGTCCCCCTGAAACCTTCCTGAGCTCCCTCCTGGGGCTGTGGACTCACAGTGAGGACAGAAAACTCCTACCTGCTCTTGTCTGCCTGTGCTTGGGGGTGGCGAACCGGTCCCACTGCGCCACGATGATGGCCGAGATGCCCAGGACGCAGACAATGGAGAGGTAGATGAGTCTTGGCTGCGGGGAGCAGTAGAACGAATAGTAGAGCCACGGGACAAAGCTCCCCATGATCAGCAGTGCAATTCCTGAATAATCCAACCTGCAGCCGGGGTACAGCGACAGAGAGTCACAGGGGAGCCCCCAAATCCACCCCCCTCCTCGCGTCCTCTTGGTAACGGTGTGTCATCACCCCCCAACCTCTCTGCACCCCAACAGAGTCACTGTGGACTCCCCCCCGGGGAAGCTGCATGTCCAGAGAGGGGAGGAGGCTGCGCTCAGGTCACCTCCGTGTGATGTGGGACAGGAGAAAGGGCCTGGGCACGGCCACGGCTTCTGGGGACACCTGCAGAACTCGGCGGGAGCGCCGAGGATGAGCTGGGGACGAGGGGCTGCGCACTCAAACAGCCAGGCGTCCGAGGGGCTGCCCACTCAAACAGCCAGGACGGGACGCGGCAGGCACGAGTCCTCGCACAGACGGATTTGACCATTAGCCTCCGCTGCAAAGTGCTTTTGATCGATGGATCCAGGAACCGTTTCACCACCGGAACGCTGCCGCTTGCGTTACCCCCACCGCCGCGGCGCCGTGGCGAAAGCCTTCCCCAGTATGCGAGGACATTTCTGCTGAGGGCACGGCCGCACAGTTTGTTCTGGAGACATGATCCTGCGGGATTTCTGGGGTTCACGCGAAGGAGATGGGCAGGATTTCCCAGCCAGCAGCTCCCAAGTAAATGCCTTGGAGAGAACTGCGTGAGCAGGATCTCGTCTGAAAGCCTGGCTGCTGCCCTGCCTGCACCACGACAGCCGAGGTGAGGTTCGCTCTCAGAGCAGCCCTGACCTCAGGGAGAGGCACTGGCCACTGCCCAGCCTTTCCACTTTGCTGGGAATCCTGGTTTTTTTCTTTCAGTTTGGTTTCAGTCCAAATTGGATCCAAACCAGAATTTTTGAAAGCATCCAGTAAACTGGAAATGGCCAACAGAGACTGAGCCCCCTCCTCAATTCCCTGCCACGAGGGGCACAAAGGCTGTTCCCTCAGCAGCTGCAGGTTCCCGGGGTCCCCGTCTTTCTCCTCCACCTCAGGGCATTTGAGCTGGCAGATCCGAGGTGCTCAGGGCCAGGGCAGAGCCCCCCAGAACCCAGCTGCGGTTCCCTCTCAGCGCCACGCTGGATTCGGTGAATGTTCCCTCCTCCAAGGATCTGGGAGTGCAGCGCTATCCAAAAGGAAGTGCCGCGAGAACTCAAAACCTCCCGCGAGACCACGCAACCGCGCTCGTGCCGACTCACTTGGAAAAAGTCCGCGAGACCTTCTCCGAGTGACAGTAGACAGTGTGGAAAAGCCAGGAGAAGCTGAGGCACAGCACCGCTCCCAGAAAGAACATCCCGAACACCACCTTCTCCTGGAGAGGAGCCATGAAATACATGTTGGGCCGCAGCATGGTCAGGATCCCCAAGCAGAGGAACAGGACAAAACCTGCAGAAAACACACCAAACAGGAAGCAGGAGAGGGAATTAATTCAGCAAAAACCCTGGAGAAACGTGGCCCTGGACAAATCCTGCCTGCAGCACATCTGGAGGTGCTCAGTCCCCCGTGAGCCGAGGCTGTCGTTACCACAGATGCGCGGTGATTGCACTGAGGGAACCGCGGTGGGACTACAGACAGGACTGAGCACAATTCAAGGTTCAAGTTACATTAAAGCAGCTGATACTTTGTCATTTTATGAAGCTTCATTTTGTTTTCCCAAGGAATATTGCTTGTACATTTCTATAAATGTTTTCTCTTTTGACATGAAAAATATATTTCTAGAATAAGCTTGCATTACATTTATCTTGATTAGAAAATTTTTTGTATTCTGTTTTTATTTTTCTTTATAGCTCGGGCGCAGGGTGAAGAGCCGCTGCCCCATCCCTGGGTTTCAGAGGAAAGCGCTCCGAGGCGTTCCTGTTCTGCCCAGGACACATTTCTCCATCTCACTTTGTCCGCAGCCCTGTGGCCCCGCTGCGAGGACACACCCCATCGTCCATTCACCCAAGGGGCTCCAGGAGCTCTTCGGCACCGTGTGACCGAGCTGCCTGCGCGCCCAGGACCAGGCTGGGGCAGGGAGAGGACCCAGCGCCCCAAGTCCTGGCTGTAAATACCCCCCTGGCACTTGGGGACCAAGCCCAAACCCCCCCGGTCACCTAGCAAGTGCGTCCAGATGTTGCCAGTCTCGGTGTGGATCCGGAAGATGCTCTTGAAGCAGGCTCGGAAGGACGGCATGGGGGGCCGGTGGCCGTGCAGGAGGTAATCGTTGTCCTTCAGCCAGTCGGGCAACACGTCGTAGGGGATCACACGCCAGCGGCCTTCCCATACCTGCAACACGCCAAACTGGGCTGGTGGCCCCCAGAGCGTCGAGCCAGCCCAAAGGTTCGTGTTTACTCACCCCCAGAGCCTAAAAGTTGCACGTGGAACAAGCCCGGCATGAGCCTTCCCTCCGCCAGGGCTGAAAAGGCCCCGAAACGCTCCCCGTGGAGAAGAAGTTTGGCTTTTGCACCAGCACCCCTGGGGGACCCCGTAAGCCACCCACATCCCGCTGAGCGCTCCTCACATGTCCCTCCAGGGATCAGGCACCCTCAGCTTTAACCCTTCTGC